TTTGTGAGAACATCTAATATTTGCATGTATAATGTATACAGTAATATTAAAGCTGGTATTCTGTAAAGCTGGAATTATATCTAAAACATACTCTTCATACTTAAGTATATTGCTTTCTAACTTTACTTAAGTTCGATTTTGAATGCAGGACTTTTACTCGTAATGGAGTAGGTTTTCTCAAAAGCTGCTACCACTTTTAAGATTTTGTTATGTTATTTTTGCCAGTCTTGTAATGTGTCAGATATGAAAAACAATGACCGTCAAAGCCATGTAATGGAAATCATCTGAACATAAGTCATGAAAGAGACCTCTTGAATCTGTCCATGTGTGCAAGGGAACCTGTATTAAGCTGATTAAGGGGTTGCATATGGAAGGGCTGAAGTGTTAGTGCATCTTCCTCTTGCTGATTGTAAATGTGTCAGGAACTGCAGTGTGCTGCGGTAAAAGCCAGCTAATAACTTCATGAGGATCTTTAGTGCTTTGTCCATATCATTAATGCTCTTCACAGTCGTTAGTGGCTTAAAGAAATAACCTGCATGCCTACTCCTGTGGCTAACTTTCAGTGGAGACTGCATTGCATAGGAGAGTGGTGATTTCCCCATTACATTAACTCACTGAGAGTCTGGTGGAGCTGGGTTTGCCTCTGTGTGAGCCACAAAAACAGTCCATTTTGTTTGTCTGGCTTTGGTCAGTGTGTCTTTAGTGATAGATAGCAATGTTGTTCTGTTGTCTTGTTGGTCAGTCGGTCCACCACTTTGGTGCACTCTGAAATATATCAACAACTGGATAGATTATCATGAAGTTCCGTAAAGGCGTTCACGGCCTCCAGAGGATGGATACTACTGACTTTGATGATGACCTGATATTTCCTCACCACCAGCAACTGGTAAGAACACTTCTGGTAAGAGTGAAAGAGTGAGATCAACTTTGCTGATCCATTAACTTTTCCCTCAACCATCAGCAGGTCAGAATTTGTCCAATACTTTAGATTTGTGACCAAACATTCACATCAGCCTCCACTGAGGCCTACTTTGTGTTTGGTGCTTATTAGCGATTAGCTTACTATCGGATGGATTGCTATGGAATTTGAAACAGATATTCATGTTTCCCAGAGGATGAACTGTAATAACTTTGGTGATCCCTAAACATAACATTTCTCCAATACTTTGGTTTCCAACAAAATACCTGCAAATACTAATACAGCATGTCAGCATGTTAGCATGCAAACGTCAGCTTTTTAGCTCAAAGCAGCGCCGTGCCAAAGTAGGCTATAGCCTCTCAGAGCTGGTAGCATGGTTGTAGACCTTCAGTCTTGTTATACACTGAATAATGACATTAAGTGCGTGAGTCCGAATATCCGGAACTGACTTAGCATTTTGTTCACTTCCGGTTCCCTCGTCTCGAAGTCAGTGGGTTTTTTGAATAGGTTTGTGGTTAGATGCCTTGACTAAGATCTGTGGTTGACATAAGCTCACGGTATTTCAACGTTTTGTTCAACGATACAAATATATTAGTAAATAAAGCTTGTTCATTTTGAAGCTTTTACATGTCTTAAAGAAGGCAGTTGCTAACAAGTGGCTAAATGACAAATGCTCATGCAGTCGTGGTCTAGTTTGCTTAAAGATGAAGATTATCTTTCTGAACAAAATGTGCAAGTATCGTGAACTTGTGTTTGCCACTGAGTTTATTTTTGGCAATAACCCAAATTCCAATGGAGAGATGCCATCCGCTTTTTGTGGAGAAAACCAGTGCGAAGCTAACTTCTGGGGTCGGCCTAAAAAAATACCTCATCCCTGCAGCACTCTATAAACAGGCATTCGACATTTACCATTTCATCCACTGTGGTTTTGTCCTTATTCGTGCATGGTAAACAAGTTGTTCCCATCACATGATAAAAGACGGTAGGTAAAAACATTGGTCGATAGTTAGTAAAAGCAACATTTCTACAGGTTCAGCTGCCATGGGGAGCTCAGTCTGAAAGCCACAGGAGAGGAATACATTTAATTATTCCCCTCTCAGTTCAACGAGACAAAAACCTTCCCACTGCAATCCACTTGCCTCTCTACATTGTGCTCCCTCTTTCTCCTGACCCTCCCGTCTGGCCTTTACTCTGTCTCATGCTCTGTCAACATCATCTGCTGCTTTGGAGCAGACAGGCTCAGAAGCAGACCTTTTTACTTTCCTGCAGGTGGCTGATCTGACGAAGGCAAGAGGCAGCAACAATCCCTCTTCACTTGCTTTCCTTTACCACCAGCACCTCGTTTCCTGTTTAGCACCATGCCAAGACTGCATTCTTGTTTGCCAAAGAAGAACATTTTCCACTTAAATAAAAAACCACAAAGGTATCACCCTCCTATTTAACATTTTTTAAGTAGTTTATAATGTGTATAACACACTATAACAAGATTTTGCAGACATTGTTTGTCTTTGAAAACCACTTAATTCTCTTGTGCTTCTTTTCTTTAAACAATCTCATGAGGTTAAATATTTGAAAATGCACCTCCATGCATCTCAAAACCTCTCAAGCAGATATGATGATTAAATACTTCCAATCCCACTAAACTAGTATTTGTCGATATATATCTATATATATCTATATATATATAT